ACTCGAAATTGTTTTGATTGATTGCTGGGGCAGCAATGCTGCTATGAGGTTCATCTTGCGATGGAACAGTGAAATCCTTCAAGGGACGGGTTTGAGGTCATTGGGCCATGATTTGTTCTGATTTGGTTTCGGTTTCCTAATCTGAGTAAAGCACGATAGGATCTGGAAGGTTATATTCAATACGGAATTCGTTTATTCGGCGCCTTAAGTTAATAAAGCACTTGATTTCGTCAATTGGTTGCTCTAACTCTTCACCTTGTGAGCGAGTACTTGGCATACAATCGATAAATTGTAGGAAAATAAAAATAAAAAGTTTCCTTAGTCTATACTGCACAACAAAAGATTCACAATATTGACTAAATCTATTCCCCGGCAATGACGCCAAAAACTCGATCGTGTCATTACTGACGGATAAATATGCAAGCATACAGTTGATTGTGTAGTCTTAAAAAGGTTGTCGAACCCACAGGGAAAAGATAATCAAACTAATGTTATCTATGGTTGTTGTGCAAAGCTAAGGCTTGAGTTAAACAGAAGTTAATAATAATTACGGGGCTGAAATAAAAAATCTAAGAATAATACCAAAACGAGCCCGAAATATGATTTCTGCGTACCTAAGGGACCTTGTAGATAAAGGGTACTAATTACATCTACACGCCTATTCCATAGGATACACCGACTTAAAGGCTCGGCCTCACGCTCTCGCGGTCTTAACTAAGCCATACTTCCTAATCCCAAGATTTTGCTCTCGCTCACCCGGTAACTAAGAATTACTCTTTGAAAGTCGATAGTACCTTAATCAACCCTTAAAGCGCTCTCACTGTATTTAGATAATGATGCCTAATTTCTACTATTTGGTTCACTCCTCACGCTCTTGCGAATCTCGGCTTAAACCTTTATTTGGTTCTCACTCTCGTGACGAAACAATGTTAAATAACCTCTCACTCTCGTGGCAAAGCTGCTCAAATTTGACTTAGAGATTACAACCAAAATGGCATACATTACAATTTCGTACCTATTATAACCACGGAGTCCCGCCGGTTACGACGATCCTCATAAGACGATCTCTAATTAATCTAGCCGGACATGGTTAATTCTAATCCTAACATGTTAAGAATGCTGAGAATTACAACATACATGTTGAATTAAACTTAAGAATATTAGTTTTTGGTTTTTATGAAAATAAATTAAGTGCAGACACGTAGAAGTAAAAATGCAGTAAAACAAAAAGAACAATAACCTGTAAACTGCAATGGAATAACTGAATACGAACTTTTATTACTTCAATCCGAGTATTACAGCAATGCAACAAAAAGTAAAATACAATATTGCAACAATTGTGAGCAATTGTTGCTTTGGAAAACTAATGTACTGGGTAAAAGTCTAAATACGGTTCGGCAGCGCTTCCGCACGGGCCGATTCTCTCGAAACATTCTAAAAGGGGCCTATTTATAGAGAAAAGGCTGTTGGATAACTCCCCATTCGAAATCCGAATTTGGAGGGAAAACATAATCGCTAGTAACTGCTCGGAAACTGATTTCTGCAGTTAAAACTGCTCCTACAAACTGCACGGTGATTACCGTGATGCCCATGGCGAACACCATGGTCTCAATGGGACGATGGCGAGCTCCATTTGGTGGTGGCGAGCGCCATATCAGCAAAGCTGGCAGAATTGCTGGTTTTTGCTGGATTTTCCTTCTTTTTCACTTCTTTTCTTGATTTCTTCTAGAATCTCGACGGGAATGCCTACCAATATAAAAACAAAGTAAGAACACATAAAAATACGAAAGACTCGATAAAAACTCGGACCTAAAATTCACAAAGTGAGCCTAAAAATACGATACAAAATCATGTTATCAGCAGGGCTAACCTTACTGAAGTTAGACATCTTATGAAGTTGCTCAGTACTTATGTTGAGGCCTCGGGGCTAAATCTGAAGTGTTTTTTAGTAGAAACTTAAGTAACTCGGCCAAGGAAGATCTTGCTAGCATTATGGGAGTTCGTCATGTGTTGGGGATTGGAAAGTATCTAGGTTTGCCCTCTATGATAGGTAGAAGTAAGAAGGCAACTTTCTCTTATATTAAAGATCGTATTTGGAACAAAATCAATTCCTAGAGAGATAGAGCCTTATCAAAATCAGGGAAGGAAGTTATGCTAAAATCGGGGCTCCAAGCCATACCGTCTTATGTTAAGAGCCTGTTTATCCTCCCAGATGCAGTTTGTAATGATATTGAGAAGTTGTTGAATTCCTTTTGGTGGAGAGGAGGGAACAATAATAGGGGCATCCACTAGATGGCCTGGGATAAGCTGGCTTGCTCCAAGAAGTAAGGTGGATTGGGATTTAGAGATTTTAAAGCTTTTAATATGTCCATGGTTTCTAAATATGGGTGGAACCTGTTGTCCAAGCCTCAAACTCTTGTTTCCAAAATATTCAAAGCAAGGTACTTCCCTAAAACATCTTTCTTTGAAGCTAACCTTGGTTATAATCCTAGTTTTGTATGGTGGAGTATTTGGAATTCGAAGGATGTCTTATCTTTAAGATGCAGGTCGAGCATTGGGGATGGAAGTCACATCAGGGTTATGCATGAGCCTTGGATCAAGGGAAAAAGGGATGGGTGTCTGAATGGTCCCCAGAAATAAGGTGTGCATGACATTACTGTTAGAAATATTATGCTATCTAATGTGAAACAATGGGATTTGATAATTATTAGGGATTTGTTTACTTGTGCAGAAGTCGAGGAAATATTACAGGTACCTCTTATGGAGGAGGTAAAAAAAGGATAAGATGATCTGGAAGGATGAACAAAATGGAGTCTATAGTGTGTGCTTTAGTTATAAGTTGTGGAGGAGTCTTAAGAGGAGGTATGAGAACGGGGGAGGGGAGAAGGTTTGGAATAGTCTCTGGAATATTAGAGCCCCACCAAGGGTTAAGCATCTCTTGTGGAGAATTTGTAAGAATTGCTTACCGACTCGTGCTAAACTCCGTCAACACCATGTTCAGTGTCTCGCTACTTGTCAGTTTTGTGATAATAATCTTGAAGATGATTGACATATGTTTTTTGGTTGTAATGAAATTTACCATTGTTGGAGGGCATCATGTTTGTCCTTTCTTATAGATGCTCGACTACATTCTTTTCATAATGCTAAATATCATATTTTCAACATCTGTAGTAAGGAGGATAGGAAAGATACTGGTAGATTTGTTTTTAAGTTAGATGAAATATGGAAGAACATGAATAATCTCATTTGGCACAATGAACAAGAGGCATCCCCTAAACTTGGTTGGTTAGCTTTTCATAAGTGGCAGGAATGGTTTATGGCCCAAAAAGTTCGTGATCCCATCAATAAGCATCAATATTCTTCTTCTTGGAGTTCGCCTATGGAAGGTTAGTTGAAATGTAATGTGGATGCGACTTTTAATAAGCATGGAGACACTTCTAATAGGGGTTGGTGTTTGCGTGATCATAATAAAAATTTTATTATAAAATGTGTGGCTTGGGATCCTAGAACTATGTACATGCTTGAAGCTGAAGCTATGACTCTTAATGAAGCAATTCATGAAGCCATTGTCTTGCATCTGGATGATGTGGCTTTCGAATGTGATTCTCAGAAAGTTATTCAAGCCATTCACTCCAGTTATAACGGTGATTCAGAGTTTTATGTTATTCTTAATTCTATAAAAGCCTTGTTATTTGTTAATCCAAACTTTGAGGTAAATTTCATTAGACGCCAAACGAATATGGTTGATCACTCTCTTGCTAGAGCGGTCAATTCATCCTAAGCTTAATTCGTTTAATTTACCTCCTCCTTGTATTGAACACTTACTGATTAATGAAATGCATTAAATTTGTTTTGACAAATTTTTTTATACTTTTTTAACAACTTTTTGAAGAAGAATCAAAATAATCTGACATTTAGAATGCATGAATAACCATATCACTCAACTAAAAAATTGCAACCTCTTCTACGGGGTTTATGTCAAATTAATCATAAATAGGTAGATCTATTTGATAAATAAATATACTAAAAAAATATCCACATCTTTAATGAATTTTTTTAAAAAAATTTGTGTGTTACTGACAATTATGATAATTATAAAATAAACATAAAAGAATTATCATAATTATTTATTACTTTTGCTATTTTAAAAGATTAACCCAATTCTCCACCACTCTCCGTTAAATCATCAAAAACATCTATTATTGCTACTTTAATCTCTAAAGTCATTGAATCTCTTCAAATCTATAAAGAAGATACAAGATTATAATCTCTTCAAATCTATAAAGAAGATACAAGATTATGTGTTGTCTTATTTTTCTTTTTTCCATTACTATTCACCAAGTTTTAAAAAAAATTTTTTTAAAAGAAAACACAAATTCCCAAAAGTTAGCTTAGATAAATTGAGCGATTATTCTAATAAGAACTACTTCGGAAAACATATCTAATAGTTTACTATAAGTGAATATTCATCGGCTTAACTTTGTTTTTAATAAATATTTTCAAGTAATATTCTTTTTAAAGAGACCTATGAGAAAAATATGATAATAACAATTAAAAAAAATAAAAATATCTCGAATTTTATTTTTTATTCTTCAAAATATTTCTTTTAAAGAATGATCTTTCATAAAAAATTTATTTATATTTTTATCTTTTTTATAATTTAGTGACAATTTTTACAATTTAACCTAATAATTTTAGAATATCTATTATTTAATGATTTAATTAATAATAATTTTAACGACGATTTTAATATTACAGACATCAGATAAAAATTTTTAGAAGAATAATTTTTTGAAGGCAACATTTTGAAAAAAATAAATAATTTAAATTAATATTTTAAATTAAAATAAATTTTAATATAAATAAATAAAAGATGGTTGAAATAAAGTCAAACATAAAATTTTGCACCAAAACTGCGTTTCACTGTTCCTAACGCGCGCGTTGGTACTGAACTCATCTCACTACCATCATCACCTGGTTTTATTGTTCTACCGCCGGCGATGGACGACACTCTCCAACCTCAATGGAACCAAACCGAACAACCTCTCACTCTCCACACACTATCTTCCATCAGGTCCCTTATCATCAACCCTTCAACCCCAAAATGCACCGTTTCCTCAATCCTCCAAACCCTAACTCAATCCCCCAACCCCACTCACCACAATCTCAACCTTCTCTCCGACCTCGCAACTCACCACTCTTTCTTTTCCCAACTCGCCCTCGACTCACTCCTCCGCGCCACCGACTCGCCCACTCGCCTCGCAGTCGATTCCCACGCGTCCGTTTCTGAATTGAGTTCCCCCGGAGAATTCGAACTCGACGACAAGCACTTCGTGTCAATGTGTTTCTTACCGGTGATCCCTGGACGGGTATGGATGCTGAGAAATGCGAGTTGCATATTCAGGATTCGGCCTGCATTGTTGTTTAAGGTGTTGTTGGGGTTTACTAAGGATCCTTACCCTTACGTGAGAGCCGCTTCATTGGAAGGGCTTGTTGGTTTAAGCGGGCGTGGAGAGTTTCCCGAACTATGTTGACTCTGACTTTCCCATTGCATGAGGGAATACGTAGGCATAAGGCAACTTTCTCTTATATTAAAGATCGTATTTGGAACAAAATTAATTCCTAGAGAGATATAGCCTTATCAAAAGCAAGGAAGGGAGTTATGCTAAAATCGGTGCTCCAAGCCATACTGTTCTATGTTATGAGCATGTTTATCCTCCCGGGTGCAGTTTGTAATGATATTGAGAAGTTGTTGAATTTCTTTTGGTGGAAGGAGGGATAAATAATAGAGGCATCCACTAGATGACCTGTTGATCGGGAAAATAGCAAGTGTACTATTTTTACCGATTGTAGTAATAAGGGAAAAAGTCCCAAGTATCGATCTCGAGGACTGCATAGAAATTAACGGGATTTTTAGTATTCAAATGAACAAAAAGCCTAGGGGGTTGTTTGGTAACAAAGTATCAAAGCGAGTAAAAGTGACTTTTAGATTAATCTAAGACGATGTTAGGGGAGTGGACACAACGCGAGTAAAGACCATGTAGGATTATTCTGAGATAATGTTTATTAACCTTAATTCATCAGTTCTCAAAATTAGTTTTCCTTAATTCCTTAATAAAAACCCTTTGATGAGTTTCATGTACACTAATTCCTCAGTGTCCATGAAAAGCATCAAGCAATAGTTCTGACAATAAAATACGTGATACGGGATATCCCCATTCCTAAGCAATATCTACCGTAATATTATTTTGCAAAAGCGTTAGGTTGGCTTTCCAGACCAAAACCTAATCATGAATCGAATTCTACTTTCCAATATGAATACGCATTAAGATTGTTGCAAAATAAAATATATAAGGTGAATAACATAATTCTCATAGAATAATCCAAACAAATGTCAATACATCGCAGTGCAGTACCACCCCCTAACAAATGGGGTTTAGCTACTCATGTTCTTAATAAAAGCAAATGCAATTAGAAATGAAAAGGAGAAGATCATTACAATTGAGGTTGGTTCACTTGGATCATCAATTGCTTCCGCTCTTGATCGATCCTTCCTTCTCTAGAAATCTCCCTCTTCAGTTGTCAATCCTATTCCCAATCCAAAAGTCTCTTTCCTTGGCTAAAAAGTGGCTCTTATATCCAAATTCAAATTACATCGCAAAATGTCTAAAATGCCCTTCAAAACAGGTTTGACAGCATAAAAATCAGAAAAACAACAAATTCACTATCAGTGGCCCTGACACGGGCCGTGTTGGGCAACACGGGTGGCCGTGTCAGGCTGCTGAATCAAACAGAGCGCTTTTCAACTTCAGGGGCTGCAACACGGGCCGTGCTGTTTGACATGGGCACCCATGTTGCTCTTTTGTTCTCCATTTTCCTCTGCTCATCTTGGCCGTGTCTCTCCAACCGTGTCCTTCCTGACACGGGCCGTGTTGTGCAACACAGGTACCCGTGTTGTGCCTCTGAATTCCATTTTTTCCGACTTTTCTCTGCCTCCGAAACGGTGCGAATGTCGAGCTATCAATTCCTGCCAAAAACACACTAAAAGAAACCGAATCAAACGCACCAGCGACAAAAGTAGTACAAAACTCAAAATAAGACTTACATAAAAACGACTTACAAATAACTAATATAACAAAAACCAAAGCTTCGAAAACAGATAAAAACAGTGCAAGACCAACAACAAACAGAGTTTGAAAACACAAGTGAAATCCACCGATCACCTGTGATAAACTGACTTTCTCCAAGAAGTAAGGTAGATTGGAATTTAGAGATTTTAAAGCTTTTAATATGTCCACAGTTGCTAAATAAGGGTGGAACCTGTTCCCCAAGCCTTAAGCTCTTGTTTCCAAAATCTTCAAAGCAAGGTACTTCCCTAAAACATCTTTCTTTGAAGCTAACCTTGGTTATAATCCTAGTTTTGTGTGGAAGAGTATTTGGAATTCGAAGTATGTCTTATCTTTAGGATGTAGGTGGAACATTGGGGATGGAAGTCACACTAGGGTTATGCATGAACCTTGGATCAAGGGAAAGAGGGACGGGTGTCTGAATGGTCCCTAGAAACAATGTGCACATGACATTACTGTTAAAAATTTAATGCTACCTAATGTGAAACAATGGGATTTGAGAATTATTAGGGATTTGTTTACTTGGGCAGAGGTCGAGGAAATATTACACGTACCTCTTATGAAGGAGGTCAAGGAGGATAGGATGATCTGGAAGAATGAATAAAATGGAGCCTATAGTATGTGTTCTGGTTATAAGTTGTGGAGGAGTCTTCGGAGGAGGTATGAGAATGAGGGAGGGGAGGAGGTTTGGAATAATATCTGGAATATTAGAGCCCCACCAAGGGTTAAGTATCTCTTGTGGAGAATTTGTAAGGACTGTTTACCGACTCGTGCTAAACTCCATCAACACCATGTTCAGTGTCCCGCTACTTGTCATTTTGTGATAATAATCTTGAAGATGATTGACATCTATTTTTTGGTTATAATGAGATTGACCATTATTGGAGGGCAGCAGGTTTGTCCTTTCTTATAGTTGCTCGACTGCATTCTTTTCATAATGCTAAATATCATATTTTTGACATTTGTAGTAAGGAGGATATGAAAGACACTGATATATTTGCTTTTAAGTTAGATGAAATATGGAAGAACATGAATAATCTCATTTGGCACAATGAACAAGAGGCAACCCCTAATCTTGGTTGGTTAGCTTTCCATAAGTGACAGGAATGGTTTATGGCCCAAAAAGTCCGTGATCCCATTAATAACCATCAATATCTTTCTTCTTAGAGTTCGTCTATGGAAGGTTAGTTGAAATGTAATGTGAATGCGACTTTTAATAAGCATGGAGGCACTTTTAATAGGGGTTGGTGTTTGCGTGATCATAGTGAGAATTTTATTATAAAAGGTGTGGTTTGGGATCCTAGAACTATGTACGTGCTTGAAGTTGAAGTTATGACTCTTAATGAAGCAATTCATGAAGCCATTGTCTTGCATCCGAATGATGTGGCTTTCGAATGTGATTCTCAGAAAGTTGTTCAAGCCATTCACTCCAGTTATAACGGTGATTCAGAGTTTTATGTTATTCTTAATTATATAAAAACTTGGTTATCTATTAATCCAAACTTTGAGGTAAAGTTCATTAAACGCCAAACGAATATAGTTGGTCACTCTCTTGCTAGAGTGGCTAATTCATGACCTAGGCGTAATTCGTTTAATTTATCTCCTTCTTATATTGAACACTTACTGATTAATAAAATACATTAAATTATTTTAAAAGAAAACACAAATTACCAAAAGTTAGTGACAGTTTACAATTTAACAATTTAATTAATGATAATTTTAACAAATACTTTATTATTTAACAATTTAATTAATAACAATTTTAGCGACGGTCTTAATATTACATACTAAAATGCTAAAAGTGTGAATGAAAATTTTTAGAATAATAATTTTTCAAAGAGAACATTTTAAAAAATTAAATAACTTAAATTAATATTTTAAATTAAAATAAATTTTAATATAAATAAATAAAAGATGGTTGAAATAAAGAAACATAAAATTTTGCACCAAAACTGCGTTTGACTGTTCCTAACGCGGCGTTGGTACTGAACTCATCTCACTACCATCATCACCTGGTTTTATTGTTCTACCGCCGGCGATGGACGACACTCTCCAACCTCAATGGAACCAAACCGAACAACCTCTCACTCTCCACACACTATCTTCCATCAGGTCCCTTCTCATCAACCCTTCAACCCCAAAACGCACCGTTTCCTCAATCCTCCAAACCCTAACTCAATCCCCCAACCCCACTCACCACACTCTCAACCTCCTCTCCGACCTCGCAACTCACCACTCTTCCTTTTCCCAACTCGCCCTCGACTCACTCCTCCGCGCCACCGACTCGCCCACTCGCCTCGCCGTAGATTCCCTCGCGTCCGTTTCTGAATTGAGTTCCCCCGGAGAATTCGAACTCGACGACAAGCGCTTCGTGTCAATGTGTTTCGTACCTTCGATTCCTGGACGGGTATGGATGCTGAGAAATGCGGGTTACATGTTCAGGATTCGACCTGCATTGTTGTTTACGGTGTTGTTGGGGTTTACCAAGGATCCTTACCCTTACGTGAGAGCCGCTTCGTTGGAAGGGCTTGTTGGTTTAAGCGGGTGTGGAGAGTTTCATGATGTTAGCATGGTGAAAGGATGTTATCTACGCGCCCTTGAGCTTTTCGACGATATGGAAGATTGCGTTAGGCTCTCTGCAGTTCGTGTTGTAAGATCACACTCTTACTGTTCTGGATTGATTTTAACTTTTTCAAGTATTTTGTTACCTTGTTCAAAATTGTCACTTTTCTAATACTTAGAAGTTGTGTTTTTGTTGAGTTTAGTTGAGGATGAATTTGATTAATATTCTGTTTTGAGCTGTTTGTGTAAGCAAAATGGTATATGAAGAGTTGACGGTAGAGTAGTTGTTTAAATGATGTGAGCTGTTGTGTTTCAGGTAGCTTCATGGGGTCTGATGTTATCAGCTTCTAGTGCAGACATGAAGGCATATTGGTGCAATGAAGTGTTTGCTAAGGTATATTCTTTATATTGTGGGCTGCACTTGTACATAGTATTGTGTAATCTATGTCAATGATTTTTGGTACTGATTATCTGTTTTGAGTTTTCAGTCATTTCTAACTATTCTTGACTGGTCTCCATAATATCACATATGGCATAACACATTCGTTTCATCATGTAGCTTTGTTCTATGGCAAGAGATATGAGCGTGAAGGTTAGAGTTGAAGCCTTTAATGGCCTTGCAAAGATGGAAATAGTATCTAAGGATTTTCTCTTGCAAAGCTTATCAAAGAGAGTTTTAGGAAATGGAAAACAAAGGGAAACTATGGATCAAATCACTTCTGAACAATTTACAATGTTGGCAACTAGTGTTGCCGGTGCACTAATGCATGGACTTGAGGACGAGTTCTTTGAGGTAATTTTTGAAAAATTGTTCAGAGCAATATATTGCTCTTGGTTACAAAGGT